AATATATTTCTCTCTATATATATAATTTATTATATTTATATATGTTATTATATATAACCTATAATATTAATATAATTTATTTTATGTATTACAGAGAGAGAAACACGTCTGTTTTATGTGATTCCAGAAATTTTGAAAACTTTTACAGAAGAATTGCAGGAATTCTTGCAAGTCAGAACTGATCAAAAGTCAATAAAATATGTAGATAAAAGTATAGGATTATAGTCAGATTGCAAAAAGCTAGATAAAATCAAAAACAAAAAACCAGCTATAACAGCTTGCCAAATTCAGTGAATTTACTTTACCTCAACAATTCTACCTATGTTACTGCATCTGTAGAACTGCTCATTTCCCATTATTTTAACTTCCCCTCTGTAGGACTGAGAATCAGGTATGACTCCCTCCTGGGACCTATGGAGACTCCTCTCTCTCTCTCTCCACACACCTTGATTCCTGCTTGCAAGTTTGGGAAACATCAAAGCAGCTATGGGTAGCCTGGGGGCATGCTCCAGCAGGAAGGGGAAAGAAATGGGAGGGAGAACTAAAGTGCATGAGCCTCTACTATAGGCAGATGGTTGGCAAAGTTTCCCTTATTAACCCTCCTAGCTATCTGGTAAGGTTTTTATAGTTAGGAATTTTTTCAAGTGAGGAAACTGAGGCACAGTGCATTAGTCCTTTCTCACACTTCTAATAAAGACATACCCAAGACTGGGTAAATAATAAATAAAAAGAGGTTTAATGGATTCACAGTTCCACATGACTGGGTAGGCCTCACAATCATGGCAGAAGGAGGAACAAAAGCACATCTTACATGGTGGCAGGCAAGAGAATGTGTGCAGGGGAACTGCCCTTTATAAAATCATCAGATCTTGTAAGACTTATTCACTATCATGAGAACAGCATGGGAAAAAAACACCCCCATCATTCAGTTACCTCCTGCCAGGTCCCTCCCACAATATATGGGGATTATGGAAGCTACAATGCAAGACAAGATTTGGGTGGGGACATGGCCAAAACATATCACACTTGAAATTTAGAAGTTGTTTTACTGTAATTTAGAAATTTAGAAGATATATGTCTTGAGAATACAATATAGTAGGAACTCAGAATGCAAATAAAACATTGAGGAGGCAGGGCTGCGGTCTTGTGGATGAAGGGTGGGAGGGAGGGATGCCTCAGGCTGGAACAAGTGCAGCTCAGAGTACAAGAAGCCAGCTAAGGGCCGACAGGGGAGCCCAAGGCCCAGCATGGCCCTTGGGCAGAAGCTTCTGCCAGGGTCTTGTTGGGCTAAGTGGGGAACGTGGATGTGGAAAAAGGTTGGAATCCTTCCCATGACTGAGGTGGAGCCCCTATTTTAAGGCATATGGGATGTTTAAGTGGGTTCAGTTAAAGAGTCCAGAGACCCCAGAAATCAAATGAAGTTAGTGAGTACTCTGGGTTTGTGTGGGAGCATTTGGGGGGAAAGAGAAGTGGCATCCTACATGCCTTTAAGTACCAGGATGGGGACCCCATTGCAAACGGATGAAGCTCAAAGTACGTTTCGAGAGAATTGAACTCAGGTTTCACCTTTCTCCAAAGTGCATGCTTTTCCACTGTTGCCTGATGTCTCCAGTTTCCTATATTTCAAAAAGAAACATTAGATCTTCCACTTGCCTTTGAACAATATGTGTCACACTTTATTTAACTTTGACAAGCCAGCAGCCACATCCAGAAATAGCCTTAGGTGAAGCTAGAAATACAAAATAAGTTAGTCATGGTGGCTGCTCATATGCTACAGTAAAAAAAAAAGTAATTTAGGTCACTATTTTAAAATGTAAAAGGTATTTTTCTTATTCTAAGGTTCATGAAGATTTTTAAATTTAGATGCTCAATGTACATCTTGTTGGACTGATACACCCCTAAGCAGTTGTCTGGCTACACGTTATCTTTGTTCTTAAAGAGTAAATTAACTAGTGAATCTAATAGTAAATGTTAATCCACCTCCCAGAAATCAAAGCAATAAGAAAGGGTATTTCCAAATTGAGCATGGTTACATAAGTCAGGCATCTTTTTCTTCTTCTCTGGAAATCATGAAAAAGCAACAATGAGAATTAAAATTAAACAGCCCTTCCATTTGGAACTTTTGCTTTTCATTCTTAACAACCCTTGGGTGAGAAAAAAATCTAAATTGCAGAATTGCTAAACAAAAATTAAAAAAGGAAAGAAGAAAAAAGAAAACATCACATTTTAGAGCCAACGAGGGAGCTTATACATCTCAGAGAAATTCCTAGTGTAAAAATTTGTATTGGTATAAAATAAAGAATAAAACAAATGAAACAAATATCTGACTCAGGAGTTTTTATTTTTTGAAAAATCCAACAAATTAAATCAAAGAAAAACAAAAGGAAGGAATTTTTAAAGGTAAAGGAGATAAAAATGAGACATGACTTTTTAAAAGTAGAATACATAAATACAAAATTTTGTTCCTTGAAAAGAAATTTAAAGATAAATAACCAATTTACTAAGAAAAAAAAAATAAGAAAACAAGGGGAAAATCATTACTCAAAACAGGAAATTATAAAAGGGAAGTCACAGAAACAGAATTAAATAAATCATAAAGGAATAACTTACACCACTCTGTACCAATAAATTTAAAGGCATGAATAAAATAGTCTTCTAAAGAAAATATACTTTGTAGAAACTGAACCTAGATGAGATAAAAAAAAAAAATCTAAACACACTAATTACCATAGAAGAATTAGAATTAGAAAATTGTCAAATAATACTATCCTATATTTTCTGCCCCCAACTTCCAAAAGCACCCAGATGATTTCTCAGGGAAATCTATCTATCCTTAAGAAGCAGATAATTCCTAGGTCACTCGATTAATTTATCCAGCTGATGAGTTGACTGCAACATTACATGATTTTGCAAAGGTCATTTTTGCCTATGAGCATCTGAGCTCGTGAGTATCTGACCACAGTAACCTCACGGTCTGGAGAATCTCAGCCCCTTCAACTCAGGACTCCTACTTCAGATCATGAAAAGCAGAAAAGCACCTTCCGGTTCCTTTAGCTTAATTCTTGTAAATTCATGGCAGTTGCTAAAATCACATTCCTTTATATTGATTCACTAGACATGTGATCAGTGCTTACTGTGTCCCCAGGCTAGTCCTAAATGCTGGAGTTAAAGCAGTGAACAAAGCACATAACATCCCTGAGCTTGTGGAGCTTATATTCTAGTTGGGGAGATAGACAGCAAGAATAAAATAAAACATAGCCTGCCAAATGATGATAAGTGTTTTGGAAAACAAGCAGATAAAGGTGCTAGGGACAGCTGGTGGGGAGAAGTGCTGCTATTTTGGGTGTCATAGAATTCATTGATAAGGTAATATTTGAGCAGACACATGAAGGAGGTGAGGGAGGAAGCCTGGACATCTCAGGAAGAGCATCAGAGCAGAGGGAACCTTGCTAATGTGGGGATGCACCTGATATGATTGAGAAACAGCAAAAAGACCACCCAGGAGGGAGCACCATGGGTTGGGAGGAGAGTAGTAGGAAATAAATTTAGAGGTAATGGAGCCTGGTTATATAGGGCTTAGTAAGGGACTGTAAAAATGTTGATTTTCAATCTGAGTGAGATGGGAAGGCATTGCAGGGTTCTGAATAAAATGTTCTATTCTGACATTTAATAGGAACACTCCACCTGATGCAGAGAACAGTGACAGAGGCAGACAGACCAGTGAGGAGGCTGTGGCCACAGTCCACACAAGAGATGATGATAGCAGGTTACTCAAATGGGTACAGTGGAGGAGGTGACAACCAGTTGTATTCTGGTAATGCCATGAAGATCTTTTCAGGATCAAACAATACATACAAACATATTGGTGCATGGGCATAATGATTGATGATATCCAGTAGGAGTTTCAAGGTGACCTTGGGTGAAGAATAATCAAAGCTATATATTGGGTACAATGTACATTACTCGTTTGAGAGGTGCACTAGTATCTCAGACTTCACCACTGTGCAATTCATCCATGTAACCAAAAACCACTTGCACTAGCACAGCTATTGAAATAAAAATATCTAAATATTTTTTTAAAATTACCACTCCTTTATGTTTTGGTTTTCAGAAATAAATTTAAAAAAAATTTAAGAATAATCAAAGCAAAATCAATAGCATCTTTTATCCCGAAAAATAAGAGTGAAGAGCAGGAAACGTTAACCTCATGAAGCCCTAAGTCCTATCAGTGGAGATTTTAAATAACATATTAGTGATCACAGTCCAAAAACGAATCCGAATTAAACTGACTCAGATTATTCATTGTGCTTATCACTTGTGTTTGAATAACAATGTTTCTTTTTCTTTTCTGAATTCAAGTTCACAAACTATTTTGAATTTTTGCATGCCAATTATTTCCAGAATGCAGAACTGCTTAGAGGACACAGGTATTACTCGGTGGAGTTATTAAGGTCCCAGCAAATAAGAAAGAACAAGTTGTTTCCTTGTTGTTGGCTCTATAGCTCTGTAGTTTTCCAGAGAGAAGGGTGGTTTTCAGATTATCATCCATTATGAAAGTTTTAAAAGATGCTCAGCTGCCTACCAAATCATAGGATGAAGGAAAGGGCCTAGCAGAAAGACAGTCGCTCTGACTTCCCTTCAATGGACAGCACCAAAGTCATACTGAACACCAGTTTTTAAAGACTTTTCTGAAAAAAATAAGAAACACTTAGCCCTTTGCTACCAAGACCCGGTTGAAGAAAATGCTGTTGGTTCCCTGAGGGCTGGCTCTGCTGTCTTGTTCATTTCTGCATCCCTGATGTCTAGCACAGTGCCTGGCATATAACAGATGCTCAGTAAACATTTGTTTGAGTGAATAAACAATTCGAGAAGCCAATGGACAAATCTTCTTTCACATCATTCTATCCCTTTATGGAATGTCTATTACAAGTGAAGAATAACACAATAGCGGTTTTATAATACTCCTCAGGCCCTGAGGCTAACCAGACCTGATTTCAGTCCTCACTTTATCACTACTCACTATAGAGCCCTGGTCAAGTTCTCTCCACCTCTCTATCTATGTCTCAGTTTCTTCATCTGTAACATCAAATGAATAATAGTACCAACCTCCTAGGCTTCTTACGAGGATTAACAAAGACAAAATATGGGAAAAACGTAACATGGTGTCCCATAATTATGAGATCTTATTATTGACACTACAGTGGTATTAAAATTACCAAAAGGAAGACAGCATCTTGTAGGTAAACTTTATTTATTTATTTATTTATTTGAGATGGACTTTCGCTCTATCGCTGCCCAGGCTGGAGCGCAGTGGTACCATCTCGGCTCACTGCAAACCCCACCTCCTTGACTCAGCAATTCTCCTGCCTCAGCCCCACTGAGTAACTGGGATTACAGGTGCACACCACCATACCCAGCTAATTTTTGTATTTTTAGTATAGACGGGGATTCACCATGTTGGCCAGGCTGGTCTGGAACTCCTCACCTCAAATGATCCACCTACCTCCACCTCCCAAAGTGCTGGGATTACAGGTGTGAGCCACCGTGTCCGGCCACATCTTGTAGATAAACTTTAAAAATCTTTTTTCTTTGTTATGAACAATTTTAAATATATACAAAAGTAGAGTGTAATAAACCTGACAACCAGTTTCAACAATTATCAGCTCATGGACGGTCACCCCCTTTCCCAGGCCTTTGTATTATTTTGAAGCAAATCCCAGACATGATGCCATTTCATCTGTAGTACTACAATAGGTAGCTCTAAAAAAATAATAAAAATAAAACCCAAAATTCCATATCACACCTAAAAATAATGAATAATGATTCCTTAATTAGATAAATGGTTGGTCTACTGAAAGCCACAAGAAGAAAGGAAGAAGAGAATCAAGTCTGTTCAAGACAGGGGTTTAAGCAAGTTCTCCCCAGAGTCAACACGATGATGGAAATACCCATTGTCACCATCAAGGTGGACTCTCCCTGCTGCGGAGTGGGGCTGAGGTGGGGGGAGGGCAGGGAATGAAGCCAGCATTTCATGCCTGAAAGGAGTCAGAGCGGAGATCCCCTAGTGATTAAAACTTTCTTACTTCCCAAACAAAACAGCATTTCATTTGAAACAATTCTGTACAAATTCTTCTGCTTCCAGATTGATGGGAAATTAGAATTTAATTTTATCTTTTCATCTACCTTGAGGCCTTGTTGACAGTGTTGGTTTTTATGCAGGTTCTATTACACAATTAGAGCTAATTGAACAGTGACAGAACTGGTCTGGTTTGTGAAATTTAACAGAGCATGAACGCTCATGTTTTGGGGAGAATTCAATTATTAAATACGTTTTGCTTATCCCACTTCCCCTAATTTCCCCTCATTTGTTTGACAAAGTCAGCAACCCAGTGGAAACCTCAATATCATTCACTGCTGCTCTCATCATAAAACCTCGAATTTAAATATTTTCCTTTTTTTCTTAGCTGGAACTTGGAGCAGTTTGATTGCTTCAAAATGAGATCTACTGGTATTGAAGCTGTTGAACATCAATAGTTCAAACCCAGATTATCATCCCCCATTTAAATACCAAGGTCAATGTGAAGTCTAGAGCTCAGTGGGCAACATTAGCAGGGAAGTGAATAACAATGCTGAGAAGGTTGCAAGCTAAGGAGCATGAGGAGGTGAAAAGGGAACATAAAATGTGCTGCATGTTTCTTCTTTCAAAGCAGGAGCTACCTTATAATCACCAAAAACTTCAGTTGGAGGAGATACAAGCCTGGATTCAGAAGACTGACATAGAACAGAGGCGCTGGGAAACCTGATGTTATCCTCACAAACCTTTCCATATAGAGCTGGCCTCAGAAAGCATGCATCGCAACTGCCCTCCAATAACTGAAATTTGTTAAATGACAAATGATAGTGGTCTGGTCCACTGGGATCTGGTTTCTGAGGAAATTTCTGACAGGCTCTCTTCTAAGACCCTTTGATCAGGAATAAAGTTTTCCCTGCGTGGCCCCAGCTCCACCCAAGGCCTCACAGTCTCAGGCACCCAAGTGTCTAGAAATGTTCACAGGTGCTGGGTCATGGGGTTGGGATGGAGGGTCTACACTTGAGAACAACTCCTCTGCTCCTGTCTGTACGTGGAAGGCCATCCTTCCCTTTCTCTTTGAAGACTCTGCCTCCTCCACTTCAGCAGCACCCAGTCCTCTCCTTTCAGCACTTGAATTTTACCCCCTTCCCCTCCCACATTCTAGTCTTGGTTAACGGTTGTGATGGAGGGTGGGAGGCAAAGTGGCTTCACAAGCCGGCTTCTGAAACTTTTCATCTCCCGTTTAAGAAGGAGAAGAAAGAGACAGAGAAGGCTAGATGAATAGAAGTCGTAACCCTGCCGTAGCTCCTTATTATCTACTTTTCCCTTGAGAAGCAAGCTTAAGGAAGGCAGGGGCAATGTCTGTCTTATCTGCTGCTGCATCCTTGCTGCTAAGACTATTTCCTAGTTTATGGTGGGACAGCAAATATTTGTGAAATGTTATTGGATAGGTGGACGGATAGATACTGCTTAGAAGCCATCATTATTCCTTACTAAAGGAGTTACTCTACCAAGAACTTGAGAGTATACAAGAGAAAATAGAAATCAGTATACATTTCCCCTTTTGATCTAAAGAGCCTCTCTTTTTAACAACGACGACAACAAAACCTTTATGAGTTGTGGAGGCCAAAGCAACTTCATCTCAGATGCTAATCTGCCATGTTGACTTCTGATTAATCCTTTTCCAGGAAGCCTTCTAAGATGTCTGGTTTATCTATTGTTCCTTGTATGAGAACATATACTTGTCATAAGTCCTGCCTGTACGTCAAAAGCACCTTGATGTTATCATACTTCAATTGTCACATACATCCCTTCTGAATCACGCAGGCCCCTTCCCAGTGGTATGTAAGCCCTGGGTCTGTTGCGGGACAATCAAAGACCGGAGAGACTGAAAAAAGTTCAGGAAAGTTTATTAAATTAAGGTGATCACCGGCTCAGCTAGTCTGAGCCCCAAACAAAGGGCTTTTCCCACTTTTAAATATCTTAAGGTGGGAACCACGTGAGGCGGGAAGCGAGCTACAGAAGCAAGAAACAAAGGCAGCATTACAACATTTCTTACCTTTTGAGAAAGAAATGTCTTGCAACCTAAACTTATCACTCTGGTGACCCTGCAGCCATGCAGGAATTCACCGGGCCTTAGGGGCATTAGGGGTTGACCAATTTGGACTTCAAAGAAGAAGTCATAGAGCAAGAACTCTGGGTCACAACATACTTGGGGCTGCCCGTTTCCAGGATCACAGACCGAATAACTAGTTTGGTTATAAACACAAGTTCTTGTATGAGTCCCTGTACACTCACAGTAGGTCTGGTATAACAGAGTTTTAGTCACACCTTTTCCGGACCAGGCTTCTATCATACAGTGATGACGGTCATCCTGGTCCCCTTTTATAACCATAGGTGAAAGAGTCAGTGGCTTCAGTATTACTAATATGATTAAACTTACACTATGCATGGGCACTTTTCTAGGCAACAAGCTTGGCAGCATTTGCAGAGATAACAGGACAGCAAAATAATTACTACAAGTAAGAGTGTAACTATGTTTGTAAATTTAAGCCACATTTACTTATGTATCATTGACTTCCTGAGGCTTCAGCCATGCATAGACTAGTCAGCTTCCGTTTGTGTGACTAGAGCAGGGCTCAATGTTTCCTCAAGCTTCAGTCGTGCGTGGACTGACCAGCCTCCGGTGTGGTCAGAGCAGGGCAGTTGTCCTTGTCAGCAGTGGCTTGATTTCACCACAGGATCAACCATGTCGGGTGGTCTGGGTTTTGTTGACTGGTCCACTGGTCCTGGGCGGTGGCTGTTGCTGGTTTCAGCCGGCTGTGATGAACCCAAGGTGTGATACTTGCAACTCTAACAGCAGTGGGGGTAGACAAGATCACAATATGGGGGCCATCCCATAAAGGCTCTAAAGTGGTTGGGTTCCCATCGTTTGACCCAGACAGAGTCTCCAGGTTGGAAGGGATGTACTGCATCTGTGAGGCTAACAGGTGTTCTTTCTCTTACTCACCCTGTATTTCCTGCATGGCCTCACCTAAGGCTTGCATTTGCCTTCTTAAGGTTAATTTCCCAATTTTTAAAATCTCCTTTTATCTGAGTTATGATGGGGGTGTCGGCCAAACACTATCTTACAGGGTGAATACCCAGTTAATTTAGTAGGAGTGCACCTGACTCAGAGAAGGACAATGGGCAGCACCTGGTCCCACCTTAGATGCGTTTCATGGTAGAACTTTTTTAAAAGCTGTTTGAGTGTCCAGTTTATTCTTTCAACTTTCCAGAACTCTGTGGGTGATAAGCTGTATGCAGTTTTCATTTGACTTTTAACCTCTGCGTCAGCTGTCGTATTATTTCTGCGACAAATGCTGGGCCATTGTCTGATCCTAAAGTTAGAGGCAGTCCGAATCTAGGAATAATGTCCTTTAGTAAGATTCTAGTTACTTCCTGAGCTTTCTTTGTCCTGATGGGAAATCCCTCGACCCAACCTGGGAAAGTGCAGACAAACACTAGCGTGTACCGGTAGCCACCGGCCTGAGGCAGCTCAGTAAAGTTCACATGCAGGTTTTCACAGGGTGTAGCTCCAGTTTCCAGAATCCCTGAGGGCCATGTTGGCCCCTGCTATGGATTGTTTGGGGCACAAGTTAAACGTTACTCACAAATGGCTCGAGTGATGGCGGTTAGGCGCAGCAATAGAAATGCCATCCTACAAGAGTCTCTAACGCAGTTTTTCCCATATGTGTTCCTTGATGAAACTGTTTTATGAACCGGGGGCTATTGCTTCTGGGATGGCTGGTGAGCCTCCTGTTTGAGAACTTCCACCAACTTCCTTTCTGGTAACTTCCACTTTCCTGCTCAAACCAAGCCTTTTCATTAGAGGAGTAGTTAGGGGGTTCCTTAAGGGGAAGCTCCAATAAGGGCATGGCAAAGATTTCCTCTTCCTTCTTAGTTACCTCTGTCATTGCAGCTCTTTTGGCTTCTCTGTCCGCCTTTCTGTTTCCTCTAGCCTTGTCACCTCCTCCTGTTTGATGCCCTTTGCAATTGATGACGGCTACTTCTTTTGGAGCCCATACGGCTTCTAAGAGCTGCTCTACTTACTTTTTATTTTTTATTTCCTTTCCTTCAGTAGTTAACAATCCTCTTTCCTTATATATGGCTCCATGGGCATGCAAAGTGGCAAAGGCATACCTTGAGTCAGTATAGATGTTTACTGATTTTCCTTTGGCCAAAAGCAACACCCTAGTAAGAGCTATTAGCTCAGCTCTTTGGGCCAAAGTTCCAACCGGCAGAGGGCAGGCTTCGGCTACTGAAGTCAGTGTTGCCATTGCATATCCAGCCCATCTGACACCTTTAGATATGAAGCTGCTTCCATCAGTAAACTATTTAACATGTGGGTCTTTTAAGGGCTAGTCCTTTAAGCCTTTTCAGCTTGAGAAAACCTCATCCACAGTTTCCACACAACAGTGATACCCTGGGTCACACAATGGGGGCTTTCCGTGCTCCGCCCATTCTATTGGCAGCAGTGTGGCTGGATTTACAGTATTCACAGTCTCCAAGGTTATGTCGGGGTTTTTACACAAAAGTCCTTGATATCTTAACATCCTAGGGTTAGAAAGCCAGCGATGCCCCTTCTGCTCCATCAGGGTAACAACTGTTTGGGGCACCCAAATTATTACCATTCCTCTGTTGTTGGGACAGTAACGGTCATTATCATGGCTTTTCTTTGACCTAGATTTAGAGTCATGTCCCCTTCTGGTGCAAAGGAGATTTGTGCTTGCAATTTCTGGAGCAAGTCTCTTCCTAACAAGGGCACTGGACAATTTGGCATTCATTCTTCTAGTGTCCCATCTGCTTGCATCTCACACGTTGATCTCTCTCAAGCCTAGGTTTGCCCTCTTGTCCTGGCTTAACTTCCTGGTTTTGCCTAGTTTGTCCTTTATCATGACCGCAACCATGACCACATCCTCTCACAAAACAAGTTTCTCTTCCAACTAAGGCCGCCGCCAGCAAGTCTGCCTTTTCCTTAGTTCTGCATCTAGCTTTTCTCTTGGCCTCCTCATTCTGATTTACAAACACCTTAGTAGCCACCTAGATAAGTTGGGTAATATTCATGCCTTCAAACCCTTCTAACTTCTGAAGCTTTTGCTTTATGTCTTCTTGTGCCTGGCTTACAAATGCCGCATTAACCATACACTGATTACCCGCAGCCTCTTGGTCAAGTGGCATGTAAAGCTGGTAAGCCTCGCAGAGCTTCTCATAAAATTCACTGGGACTTTTATCTGGCTTCTGGCGGACCTGTGAGAGCTTTCCGATATTGGTGGACTTTTTCCCTCCAGCCTTTATTCCATTTAGGGGTGCCTCTTGATACCGCGGCGAACTTTGTAGCCCTTGAGCCTGGTTAGGGTCCCAGCCTGCATCAGCCTCTATCTGGAGTGCTTGTTGTACATACTGCCTGATATCTCTTGTGCCTGTGGGTACATTGTTCTCCAGCCACTGGAGAGTGGCTTGTATAACTCTACAGTGCTCTTCCATATTAAATAATGACAGAAGAAGTTGTTTGCAATCAGCCCAGGTAGGATTGTGAGTTAGGAAAATGGACTGCATTAGATCTATAAGAGCCTGAGACTTCTCTGTATAGGAGGGAGTATGTTGTCTCCAATTTAAGAGATCAGTAGTAGAGAAGGACTGATAAATGAAGAGCTGTTCTCCCCCTTGGACTTCATTCTGTGCATTCAAATAAATTTGTCCCCAGGTTTCTCAGAGTGGCATCTGCATTGCTTGCACGCGAACTGACCTAAGGCAGCTGACCTTATCCCCCTGGAGTTCCTCCCCTGGCTTTTCAGGCAAGGGCTCTGGCTCCTCTCTGCATGGTGTTGCCTGAGGGGTGCTTCCTTCTGAGTCTGAGTCTCCGGAGGTAGCCAGGGCAGCCTCCTATCTAAGCCTTGCCAGGGGCCAAGGGAGGATAAATTGGTGCATAGTGCGGTGGAATTTCTAACTCTTCAGGTGGGGCCTGTAGGACAGGTGTTTTGTTTTGTTTTGTTTTGTTTTGTTTTTGCTTTTCCTGTGACTCCTTTTCTTTTCCTGATGCCTTGCAGCTTCTTTCTATTGTTTCTGGTTTTGTCTTGGCCATTAGAGTCTTACAGTAGGTCTCAAAGCAGGCCTGCAGCCACTTAGGGCGGGTCTGAACTACATTTAGCCAGGAGTCAATATATGGAAACTGATCCAGGTGCCCAGGCTGTTCTCCAAGCCTGGTAACCACCTGAAACACTCAGCCAGTTATCTCCCTGTCTATTGTCCCCTTGGCTGGCCACCCTACGTTAAAATATGGCTGTTTTATCTCAAAAAAGATTCTCAGTTTCTGTGGAGTTAGCTTAACCCCATAATCACCATTAAAATCTTTTTTTTAAGTTTTTCAGCATGCACTCCAGCGGAGTAGGCTTTGACGCTTTTCCTCCCATTTCCTCCCTCACGACGTGCTTTCACTCTCACTTTCACCCTTGGATCCCCCAGACTGGGTCCTATTATAGGAGGTTCGGACACTGCTTAGCCAGGAGCATGCCTTAATTCCTGTCACAGCTACCTGCAGCCGTGGAGCTGGTCCTGTGGGCCGTATGCAGTGTCCTAGGTCTGGTTTTTCCCACACTCACCTCGGAGCACACAGTCCACACTAAGAGATCTGTGCCTCCCCACATCAACCCTGCCTTGGTCTCTCCTAAGACCATCTTTCACACACTTTCACACACCTCCCCCATCCCCAAAATGATTTTCCTTTCTGACCGACTCACAAGCCTCACCTGCGTCTGGTGTCAGTTAGAGTGTGAGATTCATCTGAATCAATGGGCCTCTCCCATTGTTCCAACCCCCTTGGATTGGACTAGTTGTCATGCCCTGGGAGGTGACCAGGCTCCCCTTCCATCCTTATGGGACAGGTCTTGCCTTAGGGCCCAAACCTTACCGTGGTTCGTATGTCTGCACACTGTTCCTGTGACTGTCCTGCAACCCTTTCCACTGGTTCCAGTTGTGCCGTCGGGGGAAGGCTCCGGAATGTGGAACGGCTGTTCTCCTTCTGGGCTAAAACTCTCCCAGCAGGACCAAGGACCCCAGATCTCCCACGTCCTGGGACTCTAGCCCACAGGCAAAGGAGACAGAAAATCTGCCATCTCTAATCCTGGACTGGCCCCCAGAAATGTTGTGGGACAATCGAAGACTGGAGAGACCGAAGAAGGTTCAGGAGAGTTTATGAAGGTGATCACCGGTTCAGTAGGACATACGTCCAGAAAGTCTGAGCCATGAACAAAGAGCTTTTCCTACTTTTAAACATCTTAAGATGGGAACTACATGAGGTGGGAAGTGAGTTACAGAAGCAAGAAACAAAGGCAGCATTACAACATTTCTTACGTTTTGAGAAAGACGTGTCTTGCAACCGAAACTTATCGGTCTTGTGACCCTGCAGTCGTGCAGGAACTTGCTGGGCCTGTAATAAACTTTGAGGAATGTGGAGTTGGGGAGTATAGATAAGGTCCACTGTTCACAGAGAGAAGATAGGCTGTTAATATTCCCTTTTAACTTCAGTGTAACAGTGGGGTGGGGGGGGGCGTCACACTTTGCAGTAACTTTAAGAGGATTTTAACATTTCTATTACTACCACTATTAGGTTATAGTTGATTTCCTTAATTCCTTCTTCAGGTCTACAGGGCAATGGCATGAGGGTCCACCATCTTGTCTTGCCACTGTCCAGGACACACATATGGCTCTGTTCATAAGTCCCTATTAAATGCTTCTTTCTGAGAAACTGGATATGTCAGCCTTTTTCTTTGGCCTCGCAGCTTCCTTGGACTTTAAGGGTAGGTTTGCACAGACTCGCTCACTATGGAACATGACTTTTTTGTTCTTTCATGTATAATTTTAGTACCTCTAAACACATGTAGTAAAAAAAAATGGTAAGAAGAATGATATAATGAATCATAGAGAACAGATGAGCTGGTTCAATCAGATTTGAAAGACAATGTGGAAAAGATCTAATGTAGCTCAAAAGGAGTGTCTTCCCCATTCATCTTTTAAAGGAATCATGCAGTTTGACGGGCTCAAAATCTTTTCCCAGCTCACTGGAGACTGCATGTGAAAATGGAAGAGGAATAGGCATTAGCTAAACGGAGCCCAGGACCACTATGGAGTGGAGAAGGCTGAGGAGTATGGCAGGGAGCCCTGTGGAGAGCTAGAGGCAGCAGGAGGGTATGGGGCATAGCAGGGAGATTAATTGGGGAGCTACCAAAACGGAAGGAAAAGAGTGAATCAACGAGAGACACCTCTTGCTTTGAACCACTACCAGTGGGCCCGATAGCTGCAACTGCCAAGCATATTACTCAAAATCACCCTGGCTGCCAAGTCCTAGTCTTTGGCAGCCTCTCCGCCTCCTGGGGCCAGATTCCCTTAAGGCCCCACAAGTCGTTTCATTCACTCACCTGCTTGCCACTTGCACAATCCCTGCACTGCCCTGCCCTTTGGGTCTGCCCATCCTCAGTGTTTCGCCTTTCCACAGCTAACAAAGCCCCAACAAAAAACGAGCTTCCCAATAAAAACAAGCTTCCACATAAAAGTGGCAGCAAATGCTTTTTGATTTTTATACTTTCATAACTTGCCTAAAATAAAATAATATAATGTCGTATCGAAATAAAACTGTAGTTGCTTCAAGGAACCATCTGCCTTAAACCCAGGAGTGATAGTCTGTCTGTGGATTTTAGTTTCCTCTTTGGTCCTGAGCTGGTTAAAGGGAACACTGGTTGCCTGAACAGTCACACTTGCAACCATGATGCCTAAACATTGCTTTCTAGGCTTCCTCATCAGTTTCTTCCTTACTGGTGTAGCAGGTAAGTGTTTTGTTTCTTTTTAATTGCTCATAGCTTTGTCATCTGAGTCCGATCAAGGATCTGTTAGAAATAGCACTGGTGCTTTTTTGGACTTTATAAAGACTGCAGCTTTTGATGTCACTAAATGACCAGAGCAGGCATGGGGTTAGTGTCTATCTGCAGCTTGAATAACCCCACATACACTTAATGAGTACCCACTAAAGAAAAGGCTCTCTAGAGGGTGCAGAGACTTCATACAGAACAAATGCACATCCATCTTTCTCTCTCTCTCTCCCTCCCTCCCTCCCTCCCTCCCTTCCTCTCTCTCTCCCTCTCTTTCTCTCTGGCTCTCATTCACCTTAGAATGTCTTTTACCTTGAAGGAACACTATATCCTGGTGGTTACCAGCACAGGCTCCTAAGCCAAACTGTCATAGTCTGGATTTCAGATCTGCCATTTACCATGTAGGAAAACTTGGGGACTTTACTTAACTGCCTCAATTTCCTCATTAGTTGAATGGGGATTCTAGGTCACTGTGAAGATTAAATAAGTTAATATATGCCAAATGCTTAGAGAAGTGCCTGGCACAGGATAGGGACCACAAACAGCAGGTGAGAATTTGTTTCTGGTATTTGTGGAAGACACTGCAGGAGTGTAGAGCATCTTATCACCACTGCATACTTCTGAGCAAGCCTGTAAGAATCCAAGTTTACAGATGGGTACCTCTCAGTGTAAGTGATTCAAGTAACTTGCCAGTTGTCTAGTGACTTATACATAAAAGCAATTCAAGCCTTAATCTTGCAGAAATGTTTGGATTTGAGAAGACTCTGGTCCTTGGTAACAAGCAAGGGCACATTTAGCAAAATATGGCAGGAATTCAAATGCTACCAAAATGTTCCTGGCTCTGCATCTTACCAAGCCTGTAACCTTGAGTATCAGATGCAACTTTTTAAAGCCTCAGCTTCCTCATCTGTAGAATGCGATAATAAAAATATTTACCTTACTTGGTGACTGTGGGAATTAAGTAAGTTGTAAAGCTTTGAACATAGTGCCTAATAAAAGTTAATGTTCATATATGTTCAATGTTTGATGAATGCCAGCCAGAAGGAGGAGGAGGAGAAAAGAAGGAAAAAGATAAAGTATACCCTCAGCTTCTAATTGGTCTGTCTCTTTCATTAGCTCCTCTCTCCCATGGCTTTGCTCTTGGCTTTCTGTTGGAGGGAAAAGGCAGGCTTTACAGTCAGACTGTCTGGATACAAAATCAGCTTCACCATTTGCTGCCTGGCAAGCTCCTTCGGGTCTCCAAGGCTTCGTTTTTTCAGTCTGTAAGAAGAAGACCATAATGCACAGTACTTTCCTCATAGAAGAGCTGGGTAAATTAAATGAGTGAATGCAGATAAAAGTCCTTCAGTGCCTAGGCCAGTGTTATTACTGTTGGTGGTGGTAGCACTGATGTTACAAAAATGAGAGAAGAAATCCATAGACAGAGAGATAAAGGGCATTAAGCCATCTATCTTCATGTTAGCAAATCAATTCTAGGCAGGCCTTCAGGAAATTGTGCCTATCATCTCCTGAAAACTCCTGGAATTTTTATGTTCTAAAGATGATTGATCAGGCAGTGATTTTTGTGAGCAAAATCAATTGTGGCTGTAGACTCTTTCCAAGAACACAACACCATTTGATGCACTGATGGTGGTCCAAACAATAAAAGCGAAAACAAATTAAAAAGCAAATAACAGTATTCACACTATTTGGTTGGTAAGAAGAAAGGCCTGAGGAAACAGTCTTGTTCATTTGAAAATAACAAATCTTGAAAGTTCAGAGCTGAGACCATGGGCTTGGGAGTATTTTTTTTAACCATCTCAATAATGTGATACAAATGAGCAAAGACTTGAAGGAGGTGGAGAAATGAACCATGTGAAATCCAGGGGAAGGTAGACCAGGAAAAGGGAAGGGCCAGTGCAGAGGCCCTAAGGCAGAATCATCAGGGTCATGGTGGAGCAAGTGAAGGAGTCAACGCTGCAAACACAGGGGTCGGGGTGACAGAAGATGAGGTCAGGGAGAAAACAGAAGATATGCTCCCTGGCCGGGTGCAGTGGCTCACACCTGTAATCCCAGCACTTTGGGAGGCCGAGGCGGGCGGATCACTTGAGGTCAGCAGTTCAAGACCAGCCTGCCCATCATGGCGAAACCCCGTCTCTACTAAAAATACAAAAAAATTAGCCGGGCGTGGTAGTGGGCACCTGTAATCCCAGCTACTCGGGAGGCTGAGGCAGGAGAATCACTTGAATCTGGGGGGCAGAGGTTGCAGTGAGCTGAGATCGCGCCACTGCACTCCAGCCAGGGCGACGAGTGAAACTCTGTCTAAAAGAAAAAAAAAGATATGCTTCCTGACTCCTCCTCCTTCTGCCCAACTTCTTATCCCTTATAAGAAACCTTGAACCCTAAACAAAATTTTGCCAAAGTTCTCTTGCCTCCGTGTGACTAAAGGCAAGTGAGGTTGTAGCACCTATGTTGCATGATTCGAGGAAGAAAGCACAAGTCATGCCAGTGCAAAATTATCCCATCCCCTGCCATGATTAGTCTCAGAAACACTGGCCCCCCAGCAGGGTCTTGGTCTGTTTTCCTCATTAGCATGGCCATTTCATCTGAGGGATTATGCCTGGATACTTGGAGCCAGGATGTAGGCAGGTAAATGCAGCCATTCAGGAGTGGGACAGCAAAGGCAGACCTACTTGGAAGCAGGACCCAGCGATTGAGCAAGAACCTGTGAAAGGAGGGACTGAGTTCTGGGCTGAGATCCTGGAGCCAGAATTGGTCCCTAGCAAATTTTGCTTGAGTAGTACCAATATAGTGGTTCCTAAGAAGATGGTTGTTGGTCTCAGTGTGGGTCCTTCATCTCAGTCATTATATTCCATTGCTATTTGGGGATAAAATAATAGCAATATTTTTTTACTACAATTTACTTCCCCTACAGCCTGGGAAATAGGGTGGGAAGATAGCATGTACATGTTTATGATCTGGAACTCATCATTCTGAGACTTTAGCGTGTATCAAAATCATTGCATTGAAGATTCAAAATGTTGATTTCTGGGCTCCACCTCTACTATCTGCACATAGAGCAACTACTTTAGGGAATCCTGATGCAGGTATTCCATTGAAAACTACTGCTGGGAACAACAGTGCTCCTAGCAACGTTCAATGTTCTTCCTTCTCTTATTATCTTAGGAACTCAGCCAGCACATGAGTCTCTGAAGCCTCAGAGGGTACAATTTCAGTCCCGAAATTTTCACAACATTTTGCAATGGCAGCCTGGGAGGGCACTTACTGGCAACAGCAGTGTCTATTTTGTGCAGTACAAAATGTAAGTAAATTGAGCCTCCTTCAGCTGACAGAGATGGCACTGGGATAACATGTTCTAGAATGCAATGGAGTGTTAGGATCTGAGCTTTTTCTCCATTTCAGAGGGGTTGAGAAGAAGCCAAGGTCAGGATAGCAGTGACTTGTCTCCCCTGAAGGCTGCCTGGGGACTCAAAATGCATGATGGTATGCAGTGCATTGGGCAGATACTTCAGCCCTAGACCTGCACCAAGACCTCACAGGCTCAGCCTTCACCTCCATAGTGGAGCCTGGCACATGGTGGATTCTCAATACAAGTTTGTCAAGCGAATGTTGGAAGCAACTTATTTAGCACATAACAAATACTCAGTGAATGAAACTATTGATAGTTGAAAAAGAAGTTGTGGCAAACATGGAGGTGATGTGTAAAATAAGTTTTTAATCTAAAAGTCACTTTCAGAGTGGATTTACTATTTAGAAAATTCTGTTCAAAAACTAATGAGTATCGTAAGCATGAACACAAACTGGAACACGCTGCTGCATGTTCCTCTCGTGTGATACTCAGGCTACTCCTACTGGATCATTGCCAAAACTCAGATATAATCTACACCTTTCCTGGCTCAAGGCTTGGAAACAAACACTCCTGATTTGAAAATGTCAGGTTTTTCCACTCATATATTTTTGGGGGGCAAGGGGAGTTGAGGCTCAATCCTGTCTCCTGACAGTGAGACAGGAGATATTACAGTTTAACTTTCATGGTTTTTCACTAGAAATTCAGAAAATCAAATGCAGCTATGGCCAAAATAGCAATTTTTATCCCATAAATTCATCCATGTCTCTCCAGCATGGGGTAGGTCCTAGGTCAGATTTTCCCTCTAATTAATTTCAGAATGAATATCCCCAGAAGCATCTCCATCTTTAACCACTACTACTTCTCTCTACATATCTTATGTAACAATTGTAAAATTTGCAAATCTTTACAATGATCGTTTCTTCATTACAAAAGTAGATTTGTGCATAGCTGGAGATACTTTCAGCATGTAGGAAGTAAAGATTGGTACTATTTTTATACTTCTCCTTGAGCAGTATAAATAGGTCAAAAGTGAACCTATTTGTAGACCAAAGTACTAAGAAGATTAGAAACTGTTTTACCATGCATCTAATGAAGATTAAACTTCAGGACCTCATGCAAGGATTTTATATTTATAAATCTTTCCTTAAAGAGGACTCCCAAGCTGCTATGGTTTGAGTTTGTCTCCACCAAAATTCATGTTGAAATTTGATCCCTAGTGTGGTGATGTTGGAAGTGGGGCCTCCGAGGAGGTGTTTGGATCATGGGGATGGAGTGCTCATGAATGGCTTGGTACCATCATTGTTGCAGTTGAGTGAGTTCTCACTCTTGCCAGACTGAATTTGTCATGGAAATGTTTCTATCAGAGTGGTCGTTGTAAAGCCAGGATGCCCCTTGAGTTTGGTCTCTTCACGCGATCTGTTTTCCCCATGGACCTTCTCCAGCATGTTCTTATGCAACATGAAAAGCTCTCACCAGAAGCCAAGTGGATGCTGGCAGCACACTTCTTGTAACTTCCCAGGCTGCAGAACATGGGCTAAATAAACCTCTTTTCCTTATCAATTAGCTAGCCTCACGTGTTCTGTTATAGAAACACTAAATGGATTAAAAAGATTATATAAATTTCAGACCCCAGAATACCTGAATCCATTCCTGTCTCTAAGGGATTTTCAACAGCACAGGACAAATTTATAATTTTGCAAACTTTCACTTTGGTGTATCCAGTTCATGGACTATAGTACTGTTATATCCCTCACATTTAGAATGGGATAAACAATGAGATATTATGTTAAAAGAGAAGTCAGTCATTACAGCTAAGTTAAAGACTTATTATAAATAAATAATAATTTTAAAACATCAAAGTATACTCAATACATGTTGTGGTACTGCTTTAATTGTGATAGAATGAAATTGCTATCACCATGTAGATTACTGAGTACAGATACTGTCAACCTTCCTTATTATGTGTCTAGAAAGTTAGATTTCAAGTCTTTCAATAAATAATTTGGGAAACTTTTCTCCCCAGACTCCAATTCCTTCTCTGTTCCCCACCATCACTTTGTTGCATTGGTCTGATTTATGGCAGGTAAGGAAACAAAGCGTGAATCTTCCCTTTGACTATTACACCATCCTGTGGCCTCAGGCTGAGTCAACCTCTCTGCCTCTTGCCTCACTACCTTTTTTCATGGGTTTCACTCCCCCTCTCCCAACCTCTAATTACAGGGCTCCATATATAGTCCTCACTAAAACTTCCCGTCAATTTTCAATAAAGAGATTAATCATGTATGTTGGGTAAGCAGCACCTGAGATGAAAAGTGGTAGCAACTTCTCAGAAGCAGCCACATTACTCAATAGCGAGCTGATGAGAAGTGATGAAAAACCACAAACACTCAAAACCACAGAGCATTAAGGATGTGGAGAGTGAGTATTCAAAAATGGAAGTCAGTCCTCACACCTGAAAGAACATTATGCCAACTGTTAAAAAATAAGTTAAAACCCTTATGTTAGTGATACAGAAAGTGTCAGGGATGTTTATCTTCCAGCAAGACAGCACTTCAGGTAATGCTGTGGCTTCTATGTGTCCCCCAAAAGCTCATGTGTTGGAAACTTGATCCTAATGCAGCAATGTTGAGAGGTGGGACTTTGGGGAGATGATTGGGTCATGAGGATTCTGCCCCCATGAATGGATTCATCCATTGATGGATTAACGAATTAAAGTGTTATTGAGGAAGTGGGCTAGTTATAAGAAAAGTTGGTCTGTTTTTTACATATATATGTAAAAGCCATGTCTCTTGAATGCCTATGACATCCTCTGCCACCTTAAATCTCTGCAGAGAGTCCCCACCAGCAAGAAGGCCCTCACCAGATGTGGCTCTTAGACATTAGACTTCCTAGCCTCCAAAACTGTAAGAAGTAAATTCCTTTTCTTTATAAATTACCCAGTCTCGGGTATTCAGTTACAGCAACAGAAAATGGACTTAGACAGTTAATAAGAAGGAATTTTTTTAAAGCTTCTGAAAAGTAGCCATAAGCTATCATGGTGATATTGATACTAGAATCAGGTATAAAGAATTATCAGTCTGAAAATACTGAAGACTCCTTGAGTGGAGAAAAGAAACTCAGATCTTTGCCTTTTCCCCGCTACAGATATGGACAGAGACAATGGAAAAATAAGGAAGACTGTTGGGGTACTCAAGAACTCTTTTGTGACCTTACCAGTGAAACCTCAGACATACAGGAGCCTTATTACGGGAGGGTGAGGGCGGCCTCGGCTGGGAGCTACTCAGACTGGAGCATGACGCCGCGGTTCACTCCCTGGTGGGAAAGTGAGTTCCATGGAGTTTCTTTGCCCTTGTTCTTCCTGCTTTTGGACAGCCCTCCCAGAGCACGGCTAGTGACCAGGCCTTGTGCTTTGCTGAAGGCTCTACATAGTTATCTCATTTGGTCTAATTATCAGAACAACTCTAGGAGATAGCTTTTATTATCCTAATTTTCTAGCCCAGAACATCAAGATGTAGAGGCTTTAGTCATTGGTCCAGTCTCATGACCTGTATTATACAAGTCAGGGTTCACATTTACTGCATCTGACTGAAGAGCCTGTGTGTGTGTGTGCGTGTGTGTGTGTGTGTGTGTGTGAGAGAGAGAGAGACAGGGTCTTGCTTTGTCACCCAGGCTGGAGTACAGTGGCACGATCTTGGGTCACTGCAACCTCTGCCTCCCGGGTTCAAGCGATTCTCCAACCTCAGTTTCCCAAGTAGCTAGGATTACAAGCGTGTGCCACTATCCCTGGCTAATTTTTGTATTTTTAGTAGAGACGAGGTTTCACCATGTTGGCCAAGCTGGTCTCAAACTCCTGACCTTAGGTGATCTGCCCCCCTTGGCCTCCCAAAGTGCTGGGATTATGGGTGTGACTCACCATGCCCAGCCCTCCAAAAAGTATTTTTAGACAGCAGAATTTGTCATAGTGCCCTAGTCCTTCCCCAAACATGAGGGTTAAGTTCATGAAAATAGAAGAATTTTCTGTTAAGGAAATTAGACTTTTAGTCTCACCTCCCCAAAAAGGCAGACCAAAAGTGCTTTCTCAGTATCCATCCTGAATGATATTTATTCCTCTTTTAGTTTAGTCACAATCATAGAATAATATAATCTAAGATATAGGTGATAAAATGAACCATTACCAACAGACATTGGCTAAAATAGTAGGGAAAAGAAAGAGAGAGAGAGAAGGGGTTTAATGTATAGATATAAAGATGTGCATAAATAGAACAAGAAAGAAAATAAAGATATTTACCACAGTCCTCATAATTGCAACTAATCATGAAGCTGTAGTTAATATTTATGACTTCTTCCCTCATTATAAACTCAACATTCATCTTCTTTTCAGCCAGCACTTCAGCTTTTTATCCATGAGGAGTTTCAGTCCTTTTGGTGTTTCCTATCTCAGCTTGACCTAACCTTACATTATTTTTTATTGCTGAATAGAGAAGCTCTAAGAGGCACACTTCAGGCTACCAAGAATTCTTCCACCTGACCCCAATGTATTTATTACTGTATTATGCCTTGAAAATCAGAATGAATCACCCCAGACAATATAAGAACCTCATTTTCTTTTTGTTAGCTAAATGGCACAAGGAGCTCCAAATGGTCAGGAGAGAGCCTCAACTTCCAATTTTTGGAAACCATTTTTGTTATAAACCAGAAGAATTCAAGGCCAAGCATATGGGAAACAAAAACATGTCATCATGTCATGAGTTGTTCTCTATGGATAACAGTCAGAGTTGCCCCTCTCACTTCCACTTCTTGTATCCTAGACCAGTGAATTCTGTCTATGGAAGAAATAGCACCATATATTGGCCCCAGGCTTAGTGAAGCATTTACCAATTGGAGCGTTTACCAATTCGTATGCCAATTCACAAGACATCTCTCAAACTGAGTTTTCAATTATCCATTTCACCTTCCTATAAAGTCATGGATTTCTGAGTGACAAATATATGATATATATTTGTCCCGTGGGTCTTGAGACCTTACTTCACTCTTTTCACATTAACTTAAGTTCTTTGTCATAAGCAATATATTGTGGAGTACTATGCTCATGAATAAGGCATTGACTACATCTATGGGTGTATGTGTGGTCCCAGGAGTGATGAGGGGTCTGCTGATAAAAGCATTGAAGCAGTAAATAAAAATCTATAAACAGAATCTGTAACCAGAATCTATACCCAGCAGTAAAGAAAAACTATAACCAGTGTCTCTTGCCCCCTCCGTTTTGGAAGGGAACAAAAAAAAACCTACCTGCAACGAGATGGAAGATGAGAGCCCCTGGAATATAGCACTATACTAGGGGTTCAACATTGATCTTCCTTCCTGGAAAGGAAGATCACTCTGCAGTGATACTCTGAAGGTCAGACCAAATTTGGTAAGAGGAGATCCATATTGTTAAGTCTATATATATCCTCCATCATGTAACTATTTTGTTCAAGAGTCCATAGAGCAACTATAGGACACTGGGGAAATAGATTGTCACTGCATCCACTTAGATTTTTTAAAACAGCCTTATTGAGGTATAATTCACACAGCTTATACTTTAAGCATATAGCATACAGTTTAATGGTTTTTACTATATTCACAAATATGTACCACCATCATTCATGGTCAATTTTAGAACATTTTTATCACCTCAAAAAGCAACTCCATACCCTTTGGCTATCACCTTCCAGTCTTGCCATTCCCCTAGCCCGCAGCCCTGGCAACTATTAATCTTTCTGTCTCTATAGAGTTCCCTGTTCTGGATAGACTCATAACATACATGATTTTTTTTTGACCAGCTTCTTTCACTTAACATGTTTTCAAAGTTCATTCAGATTGTAGTATGTATCAGTACTTCATTCCTTTTTGTGGCCAAATAATAGTACATTATATGGATATACCACATATTATTTATCTGTTCCTCAGTTGATAGACATTTGGGTAGTTTCTACTTTTTGGCCATTATGAATAATGTTGCTATAAACAGTCATGTAAAAATTTTTGTGTGGGAGTTTTTTTGGTTTTTTTCTTGTTTGTTTTTTTGAAAGACAGGATCCTACTCTGTCACCTAGGCTGGAGTGCAGTGGCACAATCATAGCTCACTTTAGTCTTGAACCCCTGGACTCCAGCAATCCTTCTACCTCAGCCTCCCAAGTAGCAAGGACTATCAGGCATGTGCCACCACGCACAGCTGGGCATACATATTTCTCTTCGATATATACATAGGAGTGGAATTGCTGGGTCTCAAAGTAACTCTATGTTTAATCATTTGAGAAAATGCCAGACTGTTTTCAAAGCATCTGCACTATTTTACATTCCCATCAGCAATATATGAGAGCTTTGATTTTTCCACTTTTTTTTTTTTTTTTTTTTGAGACAGAGTCTTGCTCTGTCGCCCAGGCTGGAGTGCAGTGGCCGGATCTCAGCTCACTGCAAGCTCTGCCTCGCGGGTTTATGCCATTCTCCTGCCTCAGCCTCCCAAGCAGCTGGGACTACAGGCACCCGCCACCTCGCCCGGCTAGTTTTTTGTATTTTTTAGTAGAGACGGGGTTTCACTGTGTTAGCCAGGATGGTCTCGATCTCCTGACCTCATGATCCGCCCGTCTCGGCCTCCCAAAGTGCTGGGATTACAGGCTTGAGCCACCACGCCCGGCCGATTTTTTCACATTTTTACCAATCTTTTTTGATTATAGCCATCCTAATGGATATAAAATGGTATCTCAAGTGGTTTTTATTTGCATTTACCTGCTAATTAATGATGTTGAGCTTCTTTTTTATGTGTATTGGCTATTTTGTACCTTCTCTGGAGAATTGTACATTGAGATCCTTTGCCCATTTAAAAAATTTAATCGTATCTTTTGATTTTTGAGTTGTAAGAGTTCTTTATATATTCTGCATACCAACGTCTTATCAGATATATGATTCTCAGCTAGCTCCTCCCATTTTGTGGGTTGTCTTTTTTACTTTCTTGATGGTATCACTTGATACCAAGTTTTAAACTTTGATGAAATCCAATTTATCTATTTCTTCTTTTGTTGCTTGTGCTTTTGGTGTCATATCTAAGAATCCTTTGCCAAATCCAAAATCATGCAGATTTACCCTATATTTTCTTCTAAGAGTTTTATAGTTTTATGTCTTACATTTAAGTCTGATTCATTTTGAGTTAATTTTTGTATATGGTGTGAGGTAAGGGTCCAATATTATTTTTTGACATATGACTATCCAGTTGTCCCAGCACCTTTTGTTGAAAATTATCCCCATTGAGTGTTCTTGGCACACTTGTTGAAAATCAATGGACCATAGAAGTGTGGTTTATTTCCAGACATTCAATTCTATTCTATTGATCTATACATTTATCATTGTGCCCATACCACACTATTTTGATTATTGTTGCTTTGTAGTAAGCTTTGAAATTGGGAAGGGTGAGCCCTCCTCTTTGTATGTCTTTTTCAAGATTGTTTTGACTATTATGGGTTCCTTACAATTCTCTAACCACCTAGATTTTTTAAGACTGCTTTTCAGTATGAGCCTTTTGCCTTGCATTCATATGGCCACAGAAATATTCACATTCTGTACCCTAGTACTTAGGGATCCATCCATACACCTCTTCTAACTGGTGCAAGGTCCAATTAGAACCAAATTAATTGGATCATGTCCAAAATGCTAGATGCATTTCCCCCCAACTCTCTAATTAGCAAGAAGGTGGAATAGAGTTGAGCAAACTAATTCATGGTAACTCTCACGTTGTTTCTTGGATACATTGAAACTCAAGGCCAATACACTCAACCAGCAATTGTCTAGTGAGGAAAAGGAGATTTCATGACTAAACTGATGAACAGCAGTGAAGGGAATTCACAGATCAGTTTGATTATTATATTCAAGCCTAGAAATAGGGTCACATTCAAATTAACTTATCAAACAAAACTTCCTTCAGTCTAAGCCATTAGGCCAGTCAGGTAAGAATAACCAAAGACATTGACTGACACAGCTTTAGCTCAATTCTATTTAAATTGGGATAGTATTGAGTTAAGAAGGGTTTGTGTGTTTTCTGTATAACCACTCTCCCTAAAAAAATCAGAAAAGAAAAGAAAAAAGCTTTAGACTGGGTCCTTTAAAAAGTCATTTGATTTCAGGCCTCTTAGTAGAAGAGTAAGAAACCCAGTCTATAGCTACTACTCTTGTTGATGCAATAGTGAGAGAATCACCCACTCAGCTGCTTCCTCGCCCCCAGCTTTGCACTCTCTTACCACAGCTCCTAAGAACTTCTGAAGGACATATTTCAAAAAACATGTTTCTAGGTCCTCAGGACAGCATGTTCCTGGCATCTGTGATATAGACTAATGAGCCAGCTGCATGCATTGGCTCCTCTGACACCTGTTTTTGAGCAGCAGGATATTATCTTAGATTAAGAAGTTATGATTTATGGTTTCTATCTAGAGACAAAGCAATATTTTAAAAACATTAAAAATAAAACAAAATAAACTTTCTTCAGTTAAAAGCAGCATTTAATACTTATATTTCAGTATTATTTGACCCTTGAATTGCTTGGATTAAAAATAGATGTGAAAGCCAGGTGCATTGGCTCCATGCCTGTAATCCCGGTGCTTTGGGAGGCCGAGGTGGGAGGATCACTTGAGGCAAAGAACAGAGCATTCCAAGCAAGGGAACAGCGTTTGCAAAGGCTCTCTGGCATAGCAAATGCAAGGGACTGAAAGACAAGCAGTATATTGAAGAAGAACATGCAGGAAGGGGTCTATAATGAGGTGGGACTGGAAAGGTAGGGCATGTACAATAATTTTTTAAAGAGTTGTGACTTCCTCCAGAAAAAAGTAATTTTACTCGGGAGCCATATGATCAGACTTGTGTATAGGAAAGGTCATTTTGACTATATTTGGGGGAACAGGTTGGATGCGGATAAGTGAAGTAGTAGGTTACTAATAATAGTCTACAGGAGACAGAATTTGGCTGATGAAAAGGACTAGAGAAAATTTATTCCTGGAGGGACATTTAGTAAGAAAAATTGGCAGGACCAGGTGATAGATTGAATATAATGGTGAAGAGAACACGTCAAAGACTACTTCTAATTTTCTTGCATGCATAATGGCTGAGATGTTTTTGATGGGGTTTGATGAAAAAGACCAGTTTGGTGGGATGCAAGGCAATAGAGATTATAAGTTTGGTTTTGAATACGTTAAGTTTAAGATGCTTTTGAGAGATCCAAGGGACAATCTCTTCAGATCCAAGACTCAAAGGTAAAGTCTATTAGAGACAAAAATCTGTGAGTCATTTCATGCATACAGTACAGTGGGCATTGATAGGATTGCCTAGGGAGAGAGTAGTGATAGGCAGTTTTGAGTAAGACCAGATATTGAGGGATTCTCACCCAAAGATGCCTGAGTAAGAAAAATCTTAAAAGGAGACTAAGAAGCAATAGCCAAAGAGGTAGGAGGAAATCTGTGGGCTGATACATTCATGAATAGTGTGGGAAGGTAATATTTCAAGGAGAGAGCTGTTAACGAGTAAAGTGCTATGAGGTCAAATAATCTTGACTTGGTCTTGTAACACAATCACAATCCAGTGAATGGGTCAAGAAATCTAGCATCACAGATCATAAGCCAGGAGCCCTGAGATGTCCGCAGCTGACTCACTGATAGGCCAATGCCTGAAATATGTGCCTGACTACAAAAGGGACATGTGTATTTAAAGTTAACTATCACATTATTCCAGTATAGTTGGAAAGTGATTTAAAAACTTATGGTTCCAAATTAAATAGCCTGGGAGTAGGAAACTCTCTTCTTCTAAAACACTTAGAAATTCTGGATAAAATAAAACACATTCTCCAAACTCCACAGAAAGGCAATAATGAAAATAAAGGGAATCCTCGGGGGGCCAAAACAAAGTACATGGAAATCAAAGGGGAACCAGAGGATCGACATAGTGACCCAGCTGCCCTGAGGGCGTTTGCTGGATGTGGTAACTAGACCCTGAGTGGTAACAGCCACTCCCAAGACAAAAGACAAGGTTTTAGGCCAGCACAAGGTAGGGAGTTATAACTAATACCCCGACAAAAATCTTAGAACCTCCAAGGGCTACACTGTCAATAAAAAATCAGACTAGCCTAGGTGTGGTGGCATACACCTGTAATCTCAGCTACTCAGGAAGCTGAAGGAGAATCACTTGAGTACAGGAGTTAGAGACCAGCCTGGGCAACATAATGAGATCCTGTCTCAGGAAAAACCCAAAAGCAACCAACCAAACAAACAAACAAAAGGCGGACTAAGAAAGCCCTTCCAATAAACAGAGGAAAGTAATTTGTATGTTTCCGTCTTTACTCTGCTAAGAATCTAACACCCCCTAAATTTATAAAGGTTTGAGATTCAAATACACGTGCAATTTTCTTTTTTCTTTTTGTTTTTGTTTTTTGACATGGGTCTCACTAGGCCGCACAAGCTGTAGTGCAGTGGCATGACCATAGCTCACTGCAACCTCAGCCTCCCTGGGCTCAGGTGATCCTCCCACCAAGCTGATTTGTCATTATACATAATGTGTCTGTATATAATACATTCATTTGATGATTTCTCAAAGTTTTACTTTTTTTCTCCAGCAAAAATAGATCCTCCAGTCATGAACATAACCCAAGTCAATGGATCTTTGTTGGTAATTCTCCATGCTCCAAATTTACCACAAAGATACCAAAAGGAAAAAAATATATCTATAGAAGATTACTATGAACTAGTATACCGAGTTTTTATAATTAACAATTCACTAGAAAAGGTAAGTTCAGATGAATAGATATATTTAGTGTTTTCTCTTTTGTTTATTTAACCAGTATTTTGGTCATATGAGATGTCCTCTTCTGCTACTCTGCCTCCTTTTATTTTTCCTTATCTTTAATTCCTTCTTACTCTCAACCAGTATTGATCCACCGTTGGTGCTGGCATCACCATCAGAATGTGTGTGTGCCCTTTCCATCCTTCGGTTTGTCTCCACGGTTTTCCCTGCATATCTAAAGATTGGTATTAACAGTATTTAATTCCATGTGACTGCCACAAATAATCATTTTTATGGGCTTCGCATACTTTATTTATTTATTTATTTTATTTATTTTTAGACCAGGTCTCACTCTGTCACCCATGCTGGAGTACAGTGGTGATCATAGCTCACTGTAGCCTCTAACGTATGGGCTTAAGTGATCCTCCTGCTTCAGCCTCCTGAGGAGCTGGGACTACAAGCATGCACCATCACATCCAGCTTTTTTTTTTTTTTTCTTGTAGAGGCGAGATCTCACTATGTTGCCCAGGCTGGCATGAGCCACTATGCCCAGCCTCACACCTTATTTTAAAATAGCTTTTGAATCACATGATTATTTTTGTGCCAGTTTTGCTTTTTTTTTTTTTTTTTTTTTTTTTGACACAGGGTCTGTCTGACTGTGTCATCCAGGCTGGAGTGTAGCAATGCAATCACAGCTCACAGCAGCCTCAACATCCTGGGCTCAAATGATCCTCCCACCTCAGCCTCCCAAGTAGCTGGGACTACAGGTACATGCCACCATACCCAGCTATTGTTTTTTGTACTTTTAGTAGGGACAGGCTCTAGCCATGTTGCCTGGGCTGGTCTTAAATTACTGGGCTCAACTGATCCGCCTGCCTTGGCCTCTCAAACTGGTGGCATTACAAACATGAGCCAACATGCCCGGCCTTGCTGTGGTATTCTAATCTACCATCGGTGCTTCTGTCTGGACTTGGTGGATAATTGAATTTGTTCCTTTTTTGGTGTCATCTAAGATTAGGGGTTTTTGTTGTAAGGAGCAGAAACCACAGTCCAACTTGTTTAGAAACAAAGGAGGGAGGGATTATTAGGAGATAGGCAAGCAATCTCAGGGACAGAGGCAGGACTTAGAGTGCCGGCAGGCTTAGTGGTGACTGGGAAGGGAAACAGAAGTCAGTTCTAAGGGATCCTGCTCTGTCTCTTGGACTTTCTGTCTCTCTGTGGCCACAGTTGCATACCTGTAGTTATCTCTGCTCATCTCGCTGCACACCATTCTCGCTGCACACTTTAAATTCTTAAAAAGAAAGCCAAGTCGGGTGGCTCATGCCTGTAATCCCAGCACTTTGGGAGGCTGAGGCAGGCAGATCATTCGAGGTCAGGAGTTCAAGACCTGCCTAGCCAACATGGTGAAACTCCGTCTCTACTGAAAGTACAAAAATTAGCCTGGCGTGGTGGTGTGCATCTGCAATCCCACCTACTTGGTAGGCTGAGGCACGAGAATCCCTTGAACCTGAGAGGCAGAGGTTGCTGTGAGCCGAGATAGTGCCACTGCACTCCAGGCTAGGCGATGGAGTGAAACTGTGTCTCATACAACAAACAAAATTCTTAAAAAGAAGACTCTGACCACAGGGTCAACCAGCCAGCAGCCCTCAAGGAGAAGTCAAGTTGCACCTACACAGCTACTTGCCTTGTCCCTTTACCTTTACCTAGGCTATGGCCTAGGACTCTAGGAAAGAAGGGTGTGTCTGGGAAGAAACCCCACAACCCATCTACCGCTGTGACCATGTACAACTTGTTAATTTAAACAAAAATACAGCTGTGACTTAATGACAGCCATTTACCAACTGATTATTTTCTCTCTTGTGTATAGGAGCAAAAGGTTTATGAAGGGGCTCACAGAGTTGTTGAAATTGAAGCTCTACCACCACATTCCAGCTACTGTGTAGTGGCTGAAATATATCAGCCCATGTTAGACAGAAGAAGTCAGAGAAGTGAAGAGAGATGTGTGGAAATGCCATGACTTGTGGAATTTGGCACTCAGCCATGTGGAAATTCTGAAGCTCCCTGAGAATGGGATGACTCGTGTTTGAAGGATCTTATTTAAAGTTGTTTTTGTATTTTCTTAAAGCAATATTCACTGTTATACCTTGGGGACTTCTTTGTTTACCCATTCTTTCATCCTTTATATTTCATTGGTAAACTATATTTGAACGACATTCCCCCAAAAAATTGAAATGTAAAGACGAGGCAGAGAATAAAGGGTTCTATGAAATTTGGAACTTTATCTCTGAATGTAACATCCCTAATAACAACCTTCATTCTAAGACAGCAAAATAAAAATTTAACAACCAATGAATAGTATTTAAGAAAATGTTGAAATAAGTTTTTTAAAATAGCGTTACAGACTGAAGCAGTCCTGAAGCAATAGGTTTTCACTCTCTTATTGAGCCAATTAAATTGACATTGCTATGACAATTTAAAATTTCTATATGGATGAATATTTTTCATGCATTTCTATTTTATATGAATATATTTTTATGTATTTATTATTATTAAATATTTCTACTTAATGAATCGAAATTTTGTTTTAAATTCTACTTTAGGTAAATAAGAACAGGTGTTGGGGGAAAAAACTTATGATTTCTAGATTGATATCTGATTTAAAACTATCAACAACAAGGAAGTCTACTCTATACAACTGTCCCTCATTTAAAAGATGTATTAAGGTTTTCTTTTCTATGTTTGTTTTTGTTTTGTTTAGTTTTTAATCCTGTCTTAGAATAATTTATCTTTATCCTCAAAATTAAATGTAATTGTTTTAGTGACAAAGAAGAAAAGAGACCTTATTACTCAACCTTTCTGGCCAAGTATGTCTTGCTTGTAGCACCTTCCTCATCTCTATACAGGAGGATCCCATGAATGATGGTTTATTGGGAACTGCTGCAGTCCATGCAGAGAACTCAGCTTGAAGCTGGAAGCACACAGTGGGTAGTAGGAGAAGGACTGGTGTTGGTGGGTGCCTACAGAGATTATAGAGCTAAACAAAGCCCTCCAAACTGGCACCTCCTGCCCACTGCCTCTCCTGAGTAGAAATCTGGTGACCTAAGGCTCAGTGTGGTCAACAGAAAGTTGCCTTCTTCACTTCAGGCTAAGTCTTTATTATGTTTAAGGTTGTCTTTCTAGTGAGGAGATACGTATCAAAGAACATTTGTACAATTCCCCATGAAAATTGCTCCAAAGTATGATTAACAATATAGTCAGTGCTTCTGGTTATATACAAGTAATCAGTGATAAATGGATTTAAAAATATTCAGAAATGTATTGGGGGCTGGAGGAGAATAAGAGGCAGAGCAAGAGCTAGAGAATTGGTTTCCTTGCTTCCCTGTATGCTCAGAAAACATTGATTTGAGCATAGATGCAGAGACTGAAAAAAAAATTTACTTTGATCTCTGTTTTTGAATTATTATTTATATCTTGCTTACTAACTTTTTTGCATTTTGTCCTTTTGTGGGGAGGGCAATGAATTAAGAGTAATGGGGTGGGTGGGGAGTAAGTAAAATTTCAAACAGCATTTTAGTGAATGCAATTCAGTAGTCCTGAAGCCTGATTTAATAAAACAAAATTCATTTATGGTTGTTTCATGAAAGTTATTAGATAGCATCAAATTTTGTTTGTATGTTGTTTGCCTTGCTCTGGTTTTGCTTTTGTGCTTAGGCAAGTGCAAAATACTCTGTGAAAATCATAATTGTCATCTTCTTCATTGTGTTAGGGATATATTGTCACACGATTTCAATAAATCCTTTAATTTTTTGCTTTGCATTTTAGAATATTTGTTATTTGAGCTTTTAAAAGAAGAATACAATGTTTACGTCTGCCAGATGAAATTCTAGTTTAACATCTTAGGCCCACACGAAGTTCCAACTAGGAAGGAGCAAACAGTGTTGAGCCCAACTGAGCTTGCCATGTGATCAAATGCAATCACAAATTACAGCTGCTCAGGCCAAAAGCGTTGAGGTTATCTTTGTCTCCCCACTTTTTTTCACATCATATATATTCAATGCACCAATAAATTCTATTGATCTACCTCCAAAATACAACACTTCTCAGAACTACCTATTCCAGGCCACCATCCAGAAATCTCTGGATGGTCACTATGGCTACCTCACTGGTGTCCCCATTTTGCTTGTCTCCCTCCAGTTTTGTCTTAACAGGGCAGCCGGCATGAGCCTTGGAACATAAATCAGATCATGTCACTTTCCTGCTCTAAAACCACCAATGGCTTCCCATCTCATAAGGGTAAAAACCAAAGTCTTCATAATGGCCTCCAAGGCACTGTATGACCTGTTTCCTTTCCTCATAATCTCCCCGTCCTCACTCTCTAATTCTCACCTTGCTCACTCTGCTCCAGCACACAGACCTCTTGTTTGCCCTCAAATACCAATGCCCTAGGCTTCTGGGTTTTTGCACCTGCTATTTGCTGGAAGGCTGTATCCCCAGGTTTCCATAGATTCACTTCCTCACCTCTGTCAGATCTTTGCTGGAAGACTGCCTTATCAGTGAGGCTAATTTCACTATTCAATTTAAAATTGCAACCTACCCTCTGCAGTGATCTGTACCACTCAGTTTCCTTCCTGGCACTTAAATCACCTGACATGCTATAGTTTGCTTGTTGACCTTGTTTATTGTTTATCTTCCTACTCTTCCACTAGAATGGAAAGGCAGGTTTCTAGTTCTTTTTCCACAGCTATATCTTCATTATCTATAACAGAACTTGGTACCTAGTAGACAATTAGTATTTGCTGGATAAATTAATGAAGCAAGAGTAGAAGCACTGAGAGCATGAGAGGGGTGGGTCAGGAGTCAGGAGGGAGGCTTTTCTTGTAATTTCTTACAACTGGCTGCCTCATCTTCCTCCATGGGTAAGGGTGGGAAAGTGAGCCATTTTTTACCGGGATGCAGACATCAACATGTGCAGAGACCAGATCTCCTGCAGTTCTGGTGCCACAGAAGAGAGCAATTCTAGAATAATCGTTCTTCCTCCAACTGAGTGTCACTTCCTAGGTATTGTTTCTTCTCCCTGGCTGGTGCTCAAGTCCAGAAGTCCTGTCCCAGATTTTCTTCAAAAGAAGAGAGGGAGTAAAATTGGGTATGGAAAAAAGACATATCCATATTGACAAAAAAGAATTTTAGAGTCTTCTCTAAAAAGGTTGAGGCAAGTAGATAAAACCAAGAAAAACCAGGATGTGAGGGTTAATATTGAGTGTCAACTTGATTGGATTGAAGTATTATTCCTGGACGTGTCTACGAGGGTATTGCCAATAGAGATTAAAATTTGAGTCAGTGACTGGGAGAGGCAAACCCACCCTCAATCTAGGTGGGCACCATCCGAGCAGCTGCCAGCGCAGCTAGAGTAAAGCAGGTCGAAGAAGATGGAAAGAACAGACTTGCTGAGTCTTCTGGCCTCCACCTTTCTCCCGTGCTGGATGCTTCCCGCCCTCGAACATCAGACTCCAAGTTCTTCAGCTTTTGGACTCCTGGACTTAAACCAGTGGCTTGCCACGGGCTCTCAGGCCTTCAGCCACAGACTGAAGGCTGCACTGTCACTTCTGAGGTTTTGAGACTCGGACTGGCTTCCCTGCTCCTCAGCTTGCATACGGCCTATTGTGGGATTTCATTTTGTGACTGTGTGAGTCAATACTCCTTAATAAACTCCCTTTCATGTATACATCTATCCTATCAGTCCTGTCCCTTAAGAAACCCTGACTAATACACCCGACAGGCAGATGAGCCTATTTCACCTGGGGTTAGATCAAAGTTGTTTGAAGGAGGGGGCAACAGAAAAGAGCTAACTTCTTTTGTGCCAATGAGACTGAAGGAAAGATTCCAATAGACACACAAGATGTAATACAGAAATTTGGAGAAATGGTTCAACAGGGAACACACAGCTCCTAGTGAGGATTAAGCACCCCCAGTCCCTACGTTCCCCTGTGAAGACAGGGCTGTGGCTACTGCCAGTTGCTTGGAATAACACTCTGGCAGGTGAGAGACCCTCTTCGCCATCCTCACAAGGATTTGAAGCCCCTGGGTTCTCCCTCACCTGTCTTTTGAGGGGTCTGGCTAAAGGTCTGCCTGCTCACAAGAGCAAGCAAATGGTGACAAAGAGTCTCACCCCAATCCTGCAAACTGGCTGTAAGAGAGGATATAGTGACGGTCGTTTCCTCAGGCATATTTCTCAGCAAGTTTAGGCTTTGGCCTGCCCAAGGTGACACTTGCACGTACACTGTTTTCTATTTCTTCCTACTGCCTACAAGCTAGTCATGATTGTTTCTACTTTACAGGTGAGCCTCTGATGGGTTGAGTGATTTGCCAAGGTCTGGAAACCGTATCTGTCTAATTCCACAACTTATTCTCTTTCTATCAGACCCTTTAGAACTTCCTCTCAGCCTTTGTACATAGAGATTTCCCTATAGTCTCTTAATTAAAATTCCTTTTTAAAATGTCAGTTTTGCCCTGTTGAACTCCGGGACTCTTCTTCCCGTATGTTGAAGGGTGAATGTTAGATAAGAGAGCATGGGACAGGGAGATCTGATAAGGCAGCTGGTCAGGTGGTGGGTGGTTGTCTGCTCTCAGGGACAAAGAAGAGCAGTGCCTTAAAGAGTCTATTTGCTGGCCAGGTGCTGTGGCTCATGCCTATAATCCCAGCACTTTGGGAGGCTGAGGCAGGTGGATTACAAGGTTAAGAGATTGAGACCATCCGGGCCAACATGGTGAAACCCTGTCTTTATTAAAAATACAAAAATATTAAAAATAGCTGCAACTCTAGTCCCAGCTACTCGGGAGGCTGAGGCAAGAGAATTGCTTGAACCCGGAAGGCAGAGGGTGCAAAGAGCCAAGATCGCACCACTGCACTCCAGCCTGGTGACAGAGCACGACTCTGTCTCAAAAAAATACAAAAAAAAACCAAAAAAAAACACAAAGAATCTATTTATCCAGCATGAATGGAGGTACATATGGATGCTCCTCAACTTATAATGAGGTTACATCCTGATGAATCCATTGTAAGTCAAAAAATCTTAAGTCGAACCATAGTAAGTTGGAGGCCATCTGTACTCACTAGAAAGAGCTCTGAAGTCTACACAATCACTGGCAAACATTCACTCATTGCTAAGCTCCATATCTAACTAGCTTCAAAAAAAATTGTATTGCGTATATTTAAGGTCTAAAACGTGATGTTATAAGATATATGTGTGTAGTAAAATGGTTACTATAGTGGAACAAATCAATGTATTCATCTTCTCAGTCACCATTTGATATAATTTGTCCCCTCCAAACCTCATGTTGAAATGTGATCCCCAGTGCTGGAGGTGAGGCTTGGTCGGAGGTGTTTAGGTCCTGGGGGAGGATCTTTCATGAATGGCTTGGTGTCCTCTTTGCAGTAATGAATGGGTTCTTTCTCTATTTGTTCACATGAAAGCTGATTCTTAAACAGCCTGGGAACTTACGCCTTGCTCTCTTGCTCCCACCTTCATCATGCGACACACCTGCTACCCTTCACCTTCCACCATGATTGAAAGCTTCCTGAAGCTTTCATCAGAAGCAGAAGCTGCCGTGTGTGGAACCATGAGCCTCTTGTACAGTTTGTAGAATGGTGAGCCAAATCAATCTCTTTTATTTATAAATCACCTAGCCTTAGGTATTCCTTTATAGCAATGCAAAATGAGCTAATATTCCATGTTTCCCCTTGTGGCAAGCAACTATAATCTACTTAGTTTAGAAAAAAATCCTGTATATAACACTATTATTAATTTTAATCCACATGTTGTTGTACATCACATTTTTTGACCTGTTTATTCTATATATTTGCTACTTTGTAATGTTTTACCTAGATCTCCCCATTCTCTGCTCCCAGACTTCAGCACTGGTAACCCTGTTTCATTCTCTCTATATATTTGATCTTTTGGGGAGAATACCACATATAAGTGAAATTATACAATATTTTTCTTTTTGTCTCTGGCTTATTTCTCCTAGTATAATGTCCTCCAGGTCAATCCATGTTATGGAAAATGGCAAGATTTCCTCATTTTCCTCTTTTTAAAGGCTGAATAATATTCCATTGTATGTATATACCATAGTTTATCCATTGAAGGACATCTAGGTTGTTTCCATATCTTGGCTATAGTGAATAATGCTGCAGTTAACATAGGAGTACAGATATCTTCATGAGGTAATAATTTTATTTCCTTTGGGCATATACCCAGAAGATTAATTGCATATAGTAGTTCTATTTTTAATTTCTTTAGGAACTTCCATATTATTTTACATAATGGCTGCATCAATCTCCATTCCCACCAATAGCAACAAGGCTTCCTTCTTCCCCCTCATTAACATTGTCATCTTTTATCTTTTGATAACAGCTATCCTAACAGCTAAGAGGTAGTATCTCATAGTGGTTTTGATTTCATTTTTCTGCTCATTAGTAACGTTGGACATTTTTTCAACTAATACTTCCAAAGTATCTGCTATCCATTCTTATGCCATTTTAGAGAAATGTCTATTCAAGTCATTTGTCCATTTTTTACTGGGTTATATGTTTTCTTGTTATTGATTTGTATGAGCTCTTTATAAATCTTAGATATCAACTCCTCATTTGATATAAAGTGTGCAAATTTTTTTCCCCAGTCTGTAAGTTGTCTTTTCTATTTGTTGATTGTCTCATTTATTGTGCAGGAGCTTTTTAGTGTGATGTAGACCCACTTATTTATTTTTGCTGTTGTAGCCTGGGCTTTTGACGTGATATCCAAAACACAAAAGAAATC